GGGAGTATTAAAATGTAAATTTATTATTGAACTCTGAGGACCAACTAATCGTATTTGTGTGTGTGTAGGTCTATATTGAGAGAGATCCGTCTGTGTGTGTTAGACAATTTGCATGTTTGGGGTGTAGCCATCCATTAAGGAGCAGGTCTAGGCCAAAATTCTGCCTTCACTTTTCTGTGCCCTATACATACTAGGGCTTTTTGCCTGAGGCAAGGGTGTGCCAAGAAAGCTTTCTAGGGTAAAGGAAATGTACATGGTGGTCTCTAATTTGGCAGTATACTCCCTTTGATGCAGTAGCTGGGGAGATGGCATTTTCAATGAGATGTTGCAGGGAGCAGTCCCTTCTTACAACTTATCATCTTTATTAATGAGTCGGAAGAGGTGGCAAATAGCACATGGGAACCTGCAGATGATTCTAAACTGGGAGGAGTTGCAAACACTAGCGACCTAGATAAGTGAGAGAGATGGGCAGGAAATCATTAAATGAGATTCCAGAGGAAAAATAATCTGAAAAGAGCTAGTTTGTAGAAGGGCAAATCTTAGCAAGTAGGAATTGTCAAACTGACCAAGGTGTGAGTGTGAACAGCACATTAGACCTGAATTTGTGATGGGCTACAGCTGCGATAAAAGCAGATGCAATTTGAGCTTGAATGCATAGAGACGTTCAATTGGAGAACAGGAATGTAACAGTCTGCTTTTAGATGGCTTTGGTGCAACCATCCCTGAAATATGTGAAATCCTGGGCACCAACTTACCTGAAAGGTCTTGACAAATGGGAGAAAATACAAAGAAGAGCACCAGAGATGATTAAAGGCCTGGAGGCTCTGATTTACTGGGGGAGATGAACCAAACTAGGTAGATACCTTGTAGCTTGGCTGAATGACATTGCAGGGATTATCTTTGCTCCTGTACCGAGGGAGGGGAGATGGGAGAAAGTGGGCTGTTTTCTCTTCAAAAACATCATGACCCCTCCAAAGGAGGTCTAGTTAAAGGAGGTCTCAGCTAGCTCCAAAATGAATGCCTCTATGTTTAAAAAAGAGAGAGAGATTTTGTTTGATAAATTGTGGATATTTCTGATCTGGATCAATGGGGCACAGGGAGCTCTAGATGAAAGCTGATGTGTCTACAGCCAGTCTTGAATAATTAAACTGGGTTTTTGCATATTCTTCAGTAGAACAGTTTTTTTTTTCCCCAGCGATGCTTGGAACGGTCCTCTTTTCTTTCCTGAAATAGCAAAGGGAGCTCTCACTCATGCTGCTGCAGGAAAGAGGAAATCTGCAGGGTTCTGGAGCATGGCAGCACTTTTAATGAAATATAAGGGTTTGGTTTTTAATGAGAACACAGGCTGCTGAGCCTGCTCCCCCAAAATGAGCTCAGAGTGTGAGGCCTGGACTCAGATGGCTTTCACATACTCCTTCTCTCCAAGCAAAGCCACAGAGCTTCTGGTCTCCAAAGGGAGAGGCCCAAGGCTGGGAGGAATGAATCTGTCAGCAATGGGCAGAGGGTTGTACTGGAAAACCTCCTGACCTCCATTTTGTGGAGCTAAGCTAATGCACACACCACTGTGCCATAGGGGTGACCTGGATTCCATTCCCCTGGGGGGGGGGTGTCTGTCTCTCTGTTGCCAATGCCAGTAAAGGTTGACAGGCTTGTGAAGTGTCTGTCTGTCTCTCTGTTGCCAACGCCAGTAAAGGTTGACAGGCTTGTGAAGGAAGCACTCTTAACCCCCTGGCAGAGCATGGCTCTTGAAGGTGGGGAAGAGGAGAACAGCACTTTGCATTGTTCAAAGCCATCCTAGATCTTACTCTATAAGAATGCGGCTGTTTGGATCAGAAGGGAATCTTATGGGAGAGAGGCCTGAAATAGGTTTTCCCTCTGCTCCCAGCCCCTCTGCATCTTCTTCTGGCCAGATGGGAATAACAAGGACTCTTGGGCTGATACATTCACAGCCCTTCTCTTCGTTTAGTGCATCTTTGCTATGACTTCAGTGTCCTCAGTTCCTTTGTTTGCAGTGGGCCTTCAGATTAGGATGGGATCAGTCTTACTGTCCCATAGTGACTAGCTGTGCCAAGGTTTCCACCCTAACTTTTGAGCAGACTATCACATGTCTCGGGACCCTTAATGGGTCTTTGGAATGGGGGAAGGGAACCTGCCTCTGTGGCTTGCTCCCTTGCAGGGAGAAGGATGTGGTAAGGAGGGTCCCTTTCCTGCTTGTATTTGTCTTGCGGGCATTGCAAAGACCGCAGTTGTGGGTGTCCTGGTGTCAGAGCTAATTATGTCCCTTGAAATAATTATGTCCAGGACCCTGAAATGAGCCAGTGGGCATTAGCTGCACAAGACCTCTGGATGCTGCCCCTGTGGGTCTGGAGAACACCACGTGTAATTGCAGATGCAGTGTAACCTCATGCGCTTCAGGAGACTGTGATGCAATCCTCAGTGGGGGAAAGCTGGACTTTGGGCCCCATCAGTGTTGCTATTTGACTGGCAAGACACTGGATGGTTCCTCCAGGGTGATGGAAATATAAGGACCCATAGTAATATGGGGGGCATGTGCCTCACTGTGTCCCCCATATTTTTTTTTTCATTTAGCTCTTGGGAGCAAGCACCCCACAGTTTGAAAACTGTCTCCTATGAGGAGCTGGTGAGAGCTGTGCATGCCCCTGGCTCTCCATGCTGTGGGATCCACAGTGTTGGCTGCTTACCTGGCATCCCTCCCTGTCCTACTGCCTAAGCTGGATGCCTCTGCATGGCTGGGCGCTCCCCTGGCAGGGCAGGCAGCACAGTTTCAAGCTGTGCCCAGTATACTCTTGCCTCTCCCGCTATAGATCCCAAACCCAGCCTGAGGAGGCAGGCTCCAGTGAGGTGCTCCCCGAGGTGCTTGCTCGCCTCTGTCCTGGTGCTCCTACATCTGCTGCTGGCCAGAGACAAAAGGTGGGATGGTGGGAGACAAAAAGTGGGATGATGCCCCTCCCCACCGAACCTTGAACTAGTGTTCCCTCCCATCATTAAGGGTTACGTGCCATCTCTGTTGGCAGATCAGTGGTAGGGTGTTCTGTGATACTGCACATGCACAGAATTCATGTGCCGTACAGTTTTTTTCATCTGCTGTAGTTACACATTTCACCCTCCAGGGGCTGCTGTGGCACCGATGCAGAAAGGAGCCACTCCCAGACCAGGCCCAGCCACAGAAAGGCTCAAGAAGGGGGTTGCCTTCCTCACACTGTCCTGCTTGTTGGGACAGGGCAGGAGGCACAGGATATGTGGGGCACATGGGGCTGCTGGGGTGTCACAGACAGGTTCAGAAGGGTGCGTGGGGGCAGTGGTGCTGGAACAATTTGTACATGGGAAAGGGTGCCTGAGAGCCAGTGAGCCAAAAAACGTGAATGAACTGTCACGGGTCTGCTAAAAGCCCCGGCCTCCAGAGTCTCCCAGTGCCAGTCCTAACCCCTAGAGCCTCCCATTCTCCCCAGCGCCAGCCACTGACCCCGGAGTCCCCTGCACCCAACCCCTTCCCCAGTGGCTCTTCCGTGGTTTCCCCAAATGTCCCTTCAGCCCATCCACCCAGGCAAGGGACAAGAAGCTTGCGTGGGTGAGCCCTGGTTGTGATGGATCTGCCCCACAGGCTCCTGAGACAATAGGAGAATCCCCCAAAAGTGACAAGACAGCGATTCAAGTGTCTCATGACGAGGGGTCATGATTGCTTGGGCAAGTGAAATGAGTAAAAGGAACAGGTGGGAGATGCTAATCAAGAACACTGTTGACTCTGCCAGCAACTTCTTATTTTCTCCCCAGCTAGGGCAGATATTTCTGCCCTGGGAATGAGCTTTACCCTCCCCAACAGGTGGCTTCTCCTTCTATCAGAGCTTGCTTGTGACGTTACTGTCGGCCAAAATGTGGTTGTGATGTTCCAGGCATTATGCAGGATTGACTGGGGGAAAGTGGAGAAGGTGGGACCCCCTAGGGAGAGGAAGAGACTAGTGCAGTAGAGAAGATAATCTCTTTAGTATGAGATGCCAATATCTGAGCACATTTAGCAAAGGGAAATGATGCTACAATAATCCCAAATGCAGGACCAACTGAATATAGAGATTGCTCTTGCCCCAAAATAAAATGTAGTCGTCCCTCAGTTGCTTTTTAGATGCTTTGAGTATCTTATATACATGTTAAGCTTTGTCATGCTCTTTTTTGGGGGGAGTGGGGGGTGTTGCATGCAGGGCTGGATTAACTGCTCTGGGGGCCCAGGCTAGTAGATTTGTAAGGGGCACCTAGGCTTTGGGATGGGGCTAAAAATAAGGAATTCAGTATGCAGGAGGGGGGCTGCCAGGGAACACTTCCTTTGTGTCCCATTTGGGGGGGAACAGGTGGCTCTGCACCCAACCTGGGCTTGCAGGCCCCTCTCCCTACCATTCCCATTGGCCATGATTCCTAGCCAATGAGAGCAGCAGGTGAAAAGCTTGCCGGCATCAGAGAGCTTCCCTGCACTCATGGGGACATGGGTCCAGCCAGGAGAGGAGGGAGAATTGCAGCACGAGGAGCAGCCTTCTCCTCCTCCTGCCCATCAGGCAGAGCCAGCCTAGAACACAGCACAAAAGGGCTTTAGTGTCTGCATCCCGGGAGCCCCCCTTAGCCCACGGTCCTGGGCTGCAGCCCCTAAAGTCTGTTTCATAATCTGGTCCTGGTTGGGTGCCTTGAGGAGTTTGACTGCCAGTGACAATCCAACAGTGTCTTAGGAGGGGGAGTGACAATTAAAACCCACAGGAAGTGAGGTTAGACCAATAGAATATTATCTGATTTGGAGTCAGATAATACTCCAATTTGTGAGAAGGGCCATGAGCTCTGTAAAGACCCTCTGTGACCAGAGCCCCGGCATCCTGTCCTCTGTAAATGATTAGGGCAGAGGTGAGCAGGCTTCTGCTGCAGTCCAGTCCATTTCGGATGCTGTCTCATGGATCCCCAGGCCCTGCCTCCCTGCATGTTCGGTGGCAGCCATCCCAGGCTGTCACAGAGCGGGGCTTGGCACGGGTTCCCCTCCTTCAGCCTTCTGTGCTGTGTCACAGCCCGCTGGGTGGTGGTTTGCACAGATAGGAAGCTGTCCCTCTGCCAGAGCTGTGTTTAGCGCTGCACGCAGGAGGTAAGCGTACATAGGAAGGGTGGAGGGGCCGTCCTAGGCCACAGGAGCAGACGAGAGAGAGGCAGCATTGTTGCAGGGGCACAAACAAGCCCAGGGTATCGACACTTGGATCCCGCGAGAGCCTGGCAGAGAGAAGGAGGTGAGAAATCGCTGCTGTGGGGGCTGGTCTGGAGACCAGGGGCAGCTGGGTGGGTGGAGGGAGAGAAAGGCAAGTGGTGTCTGAAAGGCTAGGGACAAAGTAGACCATCCAGTGAGGCTTGTTTGCAGATTCCCTTAGGGATGGAGTCTCCGTGTGTAAGGGTCTGACAGACAACTTGAGGGTGCCTGTGTGGGATTCTTTGCAGGGGGAGGACAAGCCCTCAAGGGGAGTGAGTTACCGGGAGGAGGGGGGGACACTGAAAGTGCAAATCAGAGCTCTGGGGCAGTTCTGAGGCAGGCTGGCTGCACTGGAACAAGCTGCCTGAGCCAGTCTGTGGTTCTAAGCAAGGCAGTGCCATCATCCAGCTGCGAGAGACAGCCATTTCTGGGAGATCACCGCCTCCCAGGGGAATCCCAGCTTGCTCTTCTCATCTCTCCTCCCCACCCTTCCCGAGAGCAGGATCTGAGCATGGGGGCAGAGGGAGCTCTGGGACTCTGTTGGAGTTCAGAGGCCAGAAGAAGGGTGGGACAGGGACAGTTAGTTTATTTCATGGGGGAAACCTTGGGACGCCCGATACTCCTCATCTGACACCCCCATAGGGCTTTCATATTTGTTCATTTTTTTTAATTGTATCCTTTGGTATATATGGTTGTGACTACTTTCTTCCACTATTTGATCTGAGGAAGTGGGTCTGGCCCATGAAAGCTCATCATCTAATAAACCATCTTGTTAGTCTTTAAAGTGCTAAATTGTCCTGCATTTTGCCCCATAGGGCTGTTTCCTGTAGAAATTCGACCTATGCAGCTGAGTTCAACCTAAACTCCCAGTGTAAACCAGGCCTGTGAGGGACTTTGAATTCAGTGTGTATGTGTGAGAGAGAGACTGACCAACTACAGGATGCCAGTCCCACCACCTGCCTCCACTTAGTTCTGGTTCCTGCACGCCGGAGGTGTGGCTGACTAGCAGCGGGGGGAGGGGATGTGTCGGTGTGTGCACAGCATCATTTCAGGAGCTTTACTTCAGCCTTCCTGTGGGGATTAGGGAAGGTGCTGTGCTGGGACTGTGGCGCTCACCTCTGCATGTCTGCTCCATCATGTAGCCTTCTCCGGCACGTGGATATTTCTGCCTCCTCTGCCCAAAGAGCAGGTCGCACGTTGCCCTACAGGCCTGGGTGACTGAGGGGACTGATAGGGCACTACAGCTATTGACACAGATACAACACCCTGTACCCTAGGAGAGGCTGATGGGCACCTGATTGTTTCTTCCTGGAGGGAGATCACATGCTACTCTGTGCATTTATTCGTAGAAGGCAAACATGGCATCCACAGTGGCTGACAGCCAGGGAAGGGAAGGAGGTAAAATGAGGGCTGCTTGTGTCCTTTACTGGACCGAAAGCCCTGGACTCCAGCAGGCCCACTACAAGCAGGTGCCACACTACCTTCCTTGCACTGCTCTGCCAATGTATTTCCATTGTGAGCTGCAGCATCCTTTGCAACTTCAGGCCTGGCACTGACTGGCATCTGCCAATACATCTCCATCTAGACAGCAGGCAAGTGCCCATCTCTGCAGTGTCTGGTCACCAGAATAGCAATGAAGTGACTCAAGAAAACCAGCATGTGACTCCAAAGCAGAAAACTCAGCAGTGCCGGTTACTTTGCCCCTTCTGGCCATTTGAGCCCTGAGGCCCTGCTCTTCCTCCACCCGAATTGCTCAGTGCTTTCTGACGAATCTGTTTTCACAGTGAGGCTCCCCCTAGCTCTGCCAGTGTGCTGCTGGTTTACCCCAAGCAGGACCGATCAAAGCCTTTTTGGCTAAAAACTTTCCTCAGTCTGTGCCTGCCACCCACATGTTGCTGAGTATTTGCTGCTGGAAAACCAAATTGTTTTCATTTCATCTAAATGTTCCATGGAAAGTCCCATTTCCTGAGCAGCTCAAGCCTAAGATGCCATACGCCCATCCCATCTAGCGCTCCCTAGGGGCTAGGCGGGCTAGTTACCAACCTGTGCCGGCTGCAGACTTTGCCTGTTTCTGGTGAGAGTTGCTAGATTCTGCTCCTCCCCAGCCTCTGAGACTGAAGAGCGAATACCCTTGGGGCTGGAACTGGGGGTGCTGTTCTTCCAGAGGAAGGGAGCAGGTCTCCCTGATTCCTTTACCACGGAGCAAATGGTTCTGTTTTGGCTCCAAAAAAGGCTGGAATAAAGCATCATGATGTGCTCTGATGGCCCCAGGCCAAAGTGCCTCACATGTCTCTGTCCCTGAGCCCCCCTCCACTTGGACTGGGGATGGCAGAGGCCCCCTAGTTCCTTTCCAAGAGACGGGGGGAAGTGCCTCACATGTCTCTGACCCTGAACCCCCCTCCACTTGGACTGGTGATGGCAGAGGTCCCCTAGTTCCTTTCCAAGAGACGGGGGCAGCAACATGGGGCCTCTTCTTCCCCACCCTCCAGAGGACAGCTAGGACCCTGTGCTCTCTGCCCTCTGGAGAAGCAGGGCTGGCAGGCTTATGTCCCCTTACTACAGGGGTGGGCCCTGGAGGCCTGATGTGTCCTCTGACTGGCCTGGATTCAGTCCCCAAGGCTTGGGGCTCCCCCCTCAGCATTGGTGAGCCTGTGCTGGTGCTCCAGCCCCTTGCTGCCTCCCTGCAGCGCTGGAGCACACACAATCTACTAGCCAGGGCCTCCCCTGGGCTCTAGTGTGGGAGGGGGATGCAGGGAGTGTCTTTCTCCTTTCAGTCGGGGGCCATGTCAGTGAGGATTTGGCAGGGTGTGGGGGGGTTTGTTTTGTTTTTTGCTTCTTACTTGTGTGTAGCCCCTGACTGATTTTTTTTTTTTTTTCCTGTGGGTCAGTGGCCCCCGACCCAAGAAAGGTTCCTCACCCGGTCACCCCTGCTTTAGTACTTATCCCAGCAGCCAGGATCTACCTACTGGGTGACAGGGCAGAGCCTCTTACATTTTTCCCCATCATAGTCCCTTATTGGGGTCATGTTAGTAGGATTCCTCCAGAACTGGCTGAGAAGCCGGGGGCCATTCACACCTCTCTGAGCCACTGTCAGAGGCTGGCTGCATAGTAAAGCAGATGTCTCTAGACTGGCTATTCATGGGTCACATTTAGCAACCATAAGGGCTAGAAACTCTTACTAAAAAACTTGCCCTTCTGATATAATCACATGGCTCCAGAAACTGGGGCCCTAGACACTCCTCTGTAGCAATGTTGTCTTAGTCTGGCTGTTGGCCTAACTCCAGTTCTGATGAGGTTTCAGAACTGCTGTGCTCTTGGGTCTCGTAGCTCTGAGAATGGGGGGGAGGGGGTGCGAAGGAGGATGTACAGTGCTGTTTTGTAGCAGATGCTGCTTCTGCTAAAGGAGAAGGAAGTGGAAATAGTCCCCTCTACTGAATATAGGAGTCAAAAGGCTCTGGTGCAATTTTACAGCGATGCTGCAAGAAGTTACCTAATCCAGATGTTTCATTTCAGTGGAAGTAGATGCCATTTTACAAACAGTCAAAAAGTCTGTAAAGGGATCTCCCTCCCTCAGGGTGCAGTGTGGGACTGTGGGATTGCTGTGCCCCTTTAACTGTCTCCAGCAGGGCTGTCCCTTGCAATGTTTTGCTAGTTGCAAGCAGCAAACCCCTCCAGACGCTGTTATCACTCAGCAGAATTAACTGCATGTGGAGCACCCCCCACCAAGCTAGATGGCATGAATGCTCCCAGAGCCACATAGGAATTGCACAGAGAAAGGCACCAGTCAAATCCCCCCAACTCCCAGCCTTATACCCCAGGAATATACCATCTAATTTATTAATTGGTTCACCACTGTGTCAATGGAAAGTGGATATACGCTAGCTTTGGAAAAAACCCCGAGCAAATTAACCAATTGCTTCAGGCAACCTCACTGGTAAAGATAAACAGTAAAACAAGTTTATTGGCTATAAAAGATGGATTTTAAGTGCTATTACGTGGTAGGCAAAAAGTCAGAGTAGTTACTAAAATAAAATACAATATATAAATATGCCGGCTGTGTCTACATTGGCGCGCTCTTGCGCAAGAACACTGAGGTTCTAATGTATAAATCAGGGCTTCTTGTGCAAGAACTATGATGCTCCCGCTCAGGAATAAGCCCTCTTGCACAACTGTTCTTGCGCAAGAGGCCAGTGTAGACAGGCAACATGAATTTCTTGCGCAAGAAAGCCCTATGGTTAAAATGGCCATCGGAGCTTTCTTGCGCAAGAGTGCGTCTACGCTGGCACGGATGCTTTTGTGCAAAAGCACATCTCTTGCGCAAAAGCACATGCCAGTGTAGGCGCTCTCTTCTGGAAGAGTTTTTGCACAAGAACCCTTCCGCAAAATCATGCCAGTGTAGACGTAGCCGCCATGTAAACTCTCCCTCCATTAGACTGGGCAACACCTAGATCTAGCAGTTTTTCTCACCCAACTGGCTATTGCAGTCCATAGTACATAGATTTCACCCTTGAAATCTGGGCCAGTCCTCTGTTGGAACCTTCAGTCTTCTCAGTGGGCTGGTTGCTTGCAGCCGAGGAGGGTGAAGGAGAAAGGCCAAACATGAGCCTCTGTGTTTGGTTCTTATACCCTTAGTCCCTGTGCTTGGAGAACACAAATCCACGGGGACGTTGCTGAGTGTCCAGGCAAAGTTGAACAACTCCCCTGATGTGGCTCATGTAAGTGAGTCATTGCATTGCAGCTCTCTTGCTGGGCAATGGCTGGTGATAGCCATCCAACAGCTAGAGTTGCCAGATACTTTTTGTGAAACTATTGAACATGGCAGGAAAAACATTGGCCAACACTGGACACCTGGCATCCCTACCAACAGCATCCACCCATCTGTCCAACAGCAGGCACCTGGATGTTTGTTACCTCCCCTTGCCATTGTCTCTGGAGAGCTAGTTATCTGGGCATCTCCCAAATCCACAGCATATTTTAGTGAGAATCATACAACACAATTCTGATAATTTCATATGCATTAAAGATACTTATATGGATAGAGAA